ATGTTTCCCATATACTCCTCCTCCCATGCACATATATCTCACACCAGAGTGCTACATTTGTTTCAATCCGTGAACCTATATTGACACATCATTATCACCCAAAGCCCACAGTTTACATACGGATTTACTCTTGGTGTTGGGTATGGATTTTGACAATGTATTTAATAAAATGACATGTATCTACCATTATAGCATCATACAAAGTAGTAATTTCACTGCCCTAAAAATCTTCTTATGCTCCACCCTTTGTTTTGTTTTTAATCTATCCTGTTTTTTGAATCTTCAAATTTTATAAATTCCCTATCCTCTTTGTTAGTACTTGTTTTCTTATCTCAGCTTTCCAAATTAGTGTACATTTCCTTAAGTGCTCAAAACAAAACAACATTTGCTTTTTCTCAGTAAATTCAAAGTATTAAAACATCACAGGCACATACAAAATAGAGAACAAAATTTGCTTGTTAAAGTATCAAAACAAAACAGCATATTCTTGTTTCAGGGAAGAAATAGAAAATAAGAATTCACTCATAACCTATAATAGAATTACCATTTTGTAACCTCCCTCTCTTTCTCTCTATATTCCTATGCTTATACACACAGACTTGTGTGTGTGTGTGTGTGTGTGTATAAAATTGACAAACTTCCTAGAACTCTCCTAGAATTTCCAGCTTATTTCTAAAACTGAGAACTCTTGGTTGTACTTTCAGGTGTTTCAAATGATGCTGGAGAGATCACACTGATACCTATCTCCATGAATACAACTCAGGAGTCCAAAGTCAAGAGTCCTGTATCACTTACTGCTCAGTCATTGATTGGTGCTTCTCCAAAACAGACCCATCTGACTAAAGCACAAGAGGTACATCCAACTGGAATAAGCAAGCCAAAGAGAACTGGGTCCTTAGCACTGTTTTACAGAAAGGTATGTGTTTTCATAGCATTAGGCAGCACGTCAGTCTCATAAGAAGAGTTCACTTAATCAAAGGAAGAAAGATTGAGTAACAGAGAGCAGCTTTGCCCTTTGCTTTTTTAATTTTCATAAAATTTACCATTTTAACTATTTTGAAGTGTACAGTTTGGTGGCATTAAATCCAGTCACATTTTTGTGCAGCCATTACCACCATCTATCTCGAGACCTTTTTCATCTTCCTGTTCTGAAGCTCCGTACTGATGAGGCCGGTGCACTCTAGCTTGGGCAACAGAGCAAGACCTAAAAAAAAAAAAAAAAAGAATCACTGGTGGCTTTGGAGTCAACCACTTGTCTCTCTTTTTATTAATATCAGATTAATCTATTGAATAGCTTAAATTAGTTTTTAAGCTCAATTTGTGTATTATTCCTGCCAAAGATAATTTTCTGTAAAGGATAATGTACTTTTTTTTTTTTTTCCTCTGAACATTTAAATTTAAAGACTTAGTCTGAACAGAATTGTCTGGCTTAGGAATACCACATCAGGGTTACCAGTTCTTAAAACAATGACTCTTGCAGGATCTTAAGGCCATTTGCGTTAGTATCAATTCATATTAAGACTGTATGTATAGGCTGGGTGTGGTGGCTCACGCCTGTAATCCTAGCACTCTGGAAGGTCGAGGCAGGAGGATTGCTTGAGCTGAGGAGTTCTAAATCGGCCTGAGCAAGAGCGAGACCCTGTCTCTACTAAAAATGGAAAAAATTAGCCACACAACTAAAAATAGAAACAAAATAATTAGCCTGGGCATGGTGGCTCACGCCTGTAGTCCCAGCTACTTGGGAGGCTGAGGCAGAAGGATCACTTGAGCCCAGGAGTTTGAGGTTGCTGTGAGCTAGGCTGAC